CTGGTGTGTCAGGTACATGTCTTGAGAGGCTCTGATATAAGCTGCGACAAGACTTTAACTGCAGTTCTGTAGAGACGTACATCTTCAAAATCAGTAGGATTTGGGGATGCACAGCTAAGAACCATACAGAAGAAACTGAAACACTAACAAAAATTACTAAAAATATAATGACTTGCCATTATATATCAAATGATTAACGCTTGGTTGTGAAAGTCTTGCTTTGTGGCAATCACAAAACAAAGACTACTACTCAGAAAATTTACTTTGCTTGTCTGCATCAATGAACAGGCAGAACCAGTGGGCCTCTATGCCCAACCAATAGCACCCAGTGGGGAAAGGCACAGCTGTGGATATGGTCTTCAGTCTTGCCATATACCAGGATGGTGAAAGGACAGGGCAGAGTGGAGAGCTTTTGGCACACCTGAGAGAGCACTGGATTGGCTCTGACAGTGGCTTTGAAGTCCCGACCTCACTGCTGCCCTGCCCCTTACCATCCTGACACAACGCAGTAATGCCGCTTCCAGGTGACCAGATCCAGTTTTGTCCCTACCCGCTAGCTGCTCCTGGACCCAAAAATATTTTATTGTTTTGTGGTATTTGTTCATGTAAACTGCTGAGGTGGAAGTGGGTGTTGTTTGGGCTCAATGGCAGTATAGAATTGTGTGCATAACTCCAACCCTAAAGGGATAATAATATATAAGCAGTGTCCTTTTAACTGCAGAATTTACACATAAGTAGCCCTACAAGGTCATCCTCCTAGGACATTGTCACTGGCACAAGAGTAACAGTGCCCCCAGATTTCAGTCACTTGTCTTTTAGAGGTTTCCCTCTATACACACACACAAATACCCCCCAAATCCCTCAACTTTCCGTAAGAGGTACTTTTTGTGCCCTAGCTGATGACACCTGTTGGAGGTTCCTCCTCTCCATTAATGACTGAATCGGTGGTGCAAGTTTAAGTACATAGATAGTTTTCCTTTTGAAAACAAAAGAGAGACCGGGGAAAAGAGATATATCCAGAAATCTATTTATTTTTGCCATTATGGTGCTTTTTTTTTTGTCCCAGACAACATTAATACATTGGAATTTTATAAAAATCCCATGGCTTTTTCACAGAAAAACTGATCCAGGAAAGTAGATTTATGTATCTTCTTCTGACCCAACACACATGGCTTTGTTTTGGGATATTTTACTATGCCAAGATACATTGGAGTTCAGTCCGAGGTGGGGAAATGTCCCAAAAAATCCATTCATGTTGTGTTTTTCAGAAGTCTAGGACAATACAAATAAATAAATAGTACACAACCATTACAAAACAAAATTGGGGTGTGGGGTGGCAGAATTTTGTAGGCTTTAGCACCTTTGTGGCTTTCTCTCTATGCAGACATGCACCACAAGATGTGATGTTCAATGCGGTTAGACAACACGTTGGACACAATGGCTGAAAGTGAGCCAAGTTTGAGAGCCAACTTCCTCATTATTTACACTGTGTGTGAGAGACGGGAGGCGAGAGGTTTTGCGTGCTACATTTAAGAAGAATGTAAGTCAGCACCATCGTGGGCACCATTTTGTTTCACTTGGACCAGTTTCAATCTTTTACAACCTTGGTTATTGACAGACTGCTGAAACAAGTGTGAGTGACAACATATGAACCGTTGCTGATCATTATGGCTGGCCAGTCCCCGCAAGAAGAGGTTGGTTCTGTTTTCAGTCAGCACCACATGTTCGAGGAAGGGTAGCTGTGATGTCAGCTGCCTTGCAGGAGGTGGGGGCTATGTCTCTCCTTATCATGGTTAGGCTGTGAGGATCTTAACAACTACAAAACCATTTCTTAGACTTTCTTTTTAGTATGTAGTTGCAACACACACACAAACACTGAACACCACGATAAAAAAGACCTGGTAAGGGAACATCTACCTACTTTAAATGAATTCAAATTCCAACGCATGATAAGCTGTATCCAAGGAGCTTGTGAATGTAATCTCAGAGCCTCTGTCTATAATCTTTGATCCCCAGATGGGACAGCTGCATATTCCTGCATTGCAAGAGAAGGTCAGACTAGATGGCCCTTGGGATTTCTTCCAACTCTACAATTCTGTATTCTATATTTTAAGTGGTGCAGTATTTTTTATTGTAGTTTTATGATTTGGTGATGGCCATTAGCTAAGTAATAAAAAATTGAAATTCTGTTGCATCCTATTTGCTTTCCGCTGTTTACAAAGAGTTGTTTTGGATATTTTCTTCACCTGTAGAAATGTGGATAGTAATATCTGCCAACAGAATCTATTGGAGAAACACCTTTTCACTTTTATTTTTGTAACCTTCAAGGCAAATGTAAGTCCCTCTGGACAAGTGGGCATAGGAGACATAAGCAGTGCCTTCTGTTTCAGTGAAACTTTAGCAAGCTCTTCAGTACAAACAATGGGTAGTAGCGGGTTTCCTTGAAAGCCCCTTGGGAGCCATATGTTATGATAAATCAAGAAATAATTGAAATAATTGAAACTTAAACTCATACTATGATCTCTGTGTAGTTCCTTCATCTATGACAATGTTTTAGATAATAGCCAAACTATTCACGCAATATATGCCTTTTATCGAGTCAGACTATGTATTTGTTGGACTACAAAAACCCTCGACCACCGGCTGTGCTTGCTGAGGCTGATAGGACTTGTAGTTTGGAGGGCACCAGGTTAGGGACAGCTGTTCTCCAACTGATAAGCTACAGCTCTCCAGGGTTTCAGACAGAGATTTGAGATGTTAAACCTAAGCTATGGCCCTTCCCCATGAAGATACAACCTGCTTCACAAACTTGGCAGCCTCCAGATGTGTTTGACTATTTGTGAACCAAAACATTCTTTTTTCTTTTTCTTTGTATTGTTGTTGGAAGTAACCCAGAGTGACTGGGGCAATGCAGAGTGACTGGGACAAGGTATAAGAAGTTGTTTGTTCTTATTCTTATTCTTATTCATATTCATATTCATAAAAGCACAAGGTTGGCAAAGGCTGACATATAATGTCTGGTCAAGCTGCCATATCTTTAATATGTCATAAAGCAACTAGTATTCCAAGATAAAATTAAAATCACTTAAATAGGCAGAATCCAGGGTTGTTGTTGAGAAAATGAAGGGCAAAGAGGCACTCAGAAATAAAACTGTACTGTAGGCTTATTGTTTCCTATGAAAAAAATCTTCCTTCCTCTGGTGATTATTTTAACACTAAAAGAGTTTGTGCCTATGGGTGACTTTCTGTGTTTTTAAAAAGAGATTCAGAACCCCGGGCTTGTAGCAACAGAACCATGTGTGTTTCAATAACCTTCAGTTCATACAATGACCAGTCAGCAATGAGAAGAGATGCTACTGGCATTTGGGTAAATTCCTAAAGCTTTCATTTTGGCATCTGGCAAGCCTTTTGCAAACACATCTGTGACCCATTTGGGGCTGTGCTTCAGGAACCATAAGCTAACCCTTGAACATTAATGCCCCCCCCAAAAAAAACTATGAAACACAAACTCACTGCCTTGGGCTTAATACCCAAACATCCCAGATTACAGTTATATCTTCATTTCGCTGTACTTCTAGCCATCATTCTTACTGCACATTTACAGCCACTGGTCACAAATACACATTCGATGCTAGGCTGGCAGAAGGGGGAGAGAGGCAGAGAACTAGTGTACACACGATACCTTTACAACACATTTCCCTCCTCAAAGAATTCTAAGCACCTTAGTTTGTTAAGAGTTCCTGGGGATTGAACCTCTGTGATGTATAAACTGCAGTGCCCAGAATTCTTTGAGGGAAAGAATATACAGTGGTACCTCGTGTTAAGTACTTAATTCGTTCCGGAGGTCCGTACTTAACCTGAAACTGTTCTTAATCTGAAGCACCATTTTAGCTAATGGGGCCTCCCGCTGCTGCTGCACTGCCGGAGCACAATTTCTGTTCTCATCCTGAAGCAAAGTTGTTAACCCGAGGTAATATTTCTGGGTTAGCGGAGTCTGTAACCTGAAGCATATGTAACCTGAAGCGTATGTAACCCGAGGTACCACTGTACTTCAAATGTGATTTAAAGGTATAGTGTGTATATAGTGTCAGAGGCTAGACCAGGCATAGGCAAATTTGGTCCTCCAGATGTTTTGAGACTACAATTCCCATCATCCCTGACCACTGGTCCTGTTAGATGGGGATGATGGGAGTTGTAGTCCCAAAACATGTGGAGGGCCAAGTTTGCCTTTGCCTGGACTACACTTTGCTTCTGAGGATTTAGGAATAAACTGTGAGGATAAGAGGGCCTAGCCATGCCTACTCAGAAGCAAGCCCTACTGAGTTGCATATTTATATTTATTCAATTTGTACCCTGCCCTTCCTCCCAAAGGAGCCCAGGATGGCAAACACATCAATTATAATCCAAGACTCCTGCTACTGTGGCCTGCACTGTGCTGAGCTCCATGTGCCTTCCCTACCCCCAGGAACTGGCAACAACACTCAATGTGCAAAAGGCTGGTGTGTAATGATGCTCTGCTTGCACTGCCCCACAGACTAATGTAATGAACTCAATGCAATAACCACAGTTTATTTCCTCTCCAATCCCTATTTTCTTTTTCTTGCATACCTTAATGCAAGAGACATCTGGGCTTTATTAAAGCACAGTTTCCCATTACATCTGAACCAACAAACTGTGGTTTAAACTCTTACAATCCAGGCTTGCAATAACTATAGTTTAAGAAAGCATTGAAGTATTGCATTAAATAACATGGAGAAAAGGAAGGAGGGAAGGAGGAAGCATGGTTTATCATAGAATTGTAGAGTTGGAAAGAACCGTGAGGATCATCTAGACCAGGCTTCCTCAACCTTGGCCCTCCAGATGTTTTTGGCCTACAACTCCCATGATACCTAGCTAGTAGGACCAGTGGTCAGGGATGATGGGAATTGTAGTCTCAAAACATCTGGAGGGCCGAGTTTGAGGAAGCCTGGTCTACACCAATTCCCTGCAATGCATGAATCTTTTGCCCAACATGGGGCTCGAAACCAAAACCATGAGATTAAGAGTCTTGTGCTCTATTGACTGAGCTATAAACCTGGTTCAAGACTGAGATCATTACATCAGAACGAGCTTTGAATCTCAGTAGGTAATGAAACCTCTATGTACAAGCATGTATTCACAAAGGTGGCTTCAAACATATTATTTCACAGAGAATGAGGTTTGTCTCTCACATAGTAAAGTAATTTTAATTAGCCCTGTGAATAAATGTGTGACAATAGCAATTTAGGGCTGCAGTTTTATACATTCCTTTTGTTAGCTTACTGAGAAATGCGCAGCTTCTCCAAGAAGCAGTTAGTGAACGAATTCTCAAACACTCAAGAGTCTCAGAGTAAGTGGATTTAAAACCAGACATGCCACAGCTGTGGGTGGATTACCTTCCCTTACGGCTTTCTCATGAGAACAGGTGAAAAGCAGACACAGCTCTCATTGGCACTAAATGAACCTAATTTCCCAGTCACTAATCTATAGCTTCCTGGAACTCATTAATTAAGTGAGCATTCCTTCATCATCCATAGCGCTTGGTTCCTATTGTTTAATGTTCACAGCTTCCACATCATATGATGGGGCATAATTTCAAAGAAAATGTGTGCACTTGTAAATATTATGTAAAAATAATATTGTCAAACTTACATGAGTGCTTAAATAGTTATCAGTGATGCGTTTAACTGAGAACTGATAAAAATATTCTCAGTGATAATTTCTGACTTCCCCTGAGAATCTGAACTACAGTACTACCATTAATAGCTTTTAGCCATTTTTTAAAAAATGGTAGAAGAGAAAGCTATATTGTGAAGCATCAGAGTGACATTTCTGAAAACCAAACTTATGGCTCCCCTAACTAGATTCTAATACATGTAATTCTATAATTTAAATAACAATTATTTATATTAGTATTGATTGATTTTTAATCATTTTTTACATGGGTCTCAAGGAGATTTACAAACATACCCTATACACAGCTACAGATACTTTTAAAAGCAGTATAAAGAACCTACTCTAAGTTTTCGTTTTGTATTGCTCTTAAACATACCGGATGGAAATATTTGTTGAAGAATCCACCTGCCCATCTCTGAATCTCCACATATTTAGTTATATAGTACTATGATAAAAATTTTATTAATAATAATAATATTGCACCATCGGTGCATTAGAGCAATTTTACAGAGAATAAGACGGAAGTTAGCTAAGTTAGTTAGCCTACTTATGTAGTTCACACCATGATGGACTCTTCTGTCCTTCAAGACTCTTAGGATAGTAGATTATTTGTTAGGTCTCACAGGTCGAACCTGCAACAAAATGTTGCACTGTATCCCCAGCTCCTGTTCAGGGATAGTCAGTTATGCTCTTTTCAATAACGACAAATCATCCCGATTCCCTGTTTCATTTCCTAACTGATGTGCAACATTCAGTGGTTACTGAACATGCTTGGTCCTCATTTGGCTATTGTTTTCTTTTTGGATAGATGGAATTTTGTATGGTTTTATACAGGTTTTTAGACTAACATGCTTAGTTGGACAGATGGTTTTGACTGTACTGTATTGTTATCTTCTCTGATTTTATATTAACTATGTAAAATTCTGTCACATTAAGATAGCTTTTGTTCGAAGCCAAACTTCATCGGAATGGAAAAAGCACTATACCTGAAGAACACAGGTCGGAATGGAAATTGATGCTTTCTTACATCTGTAGTAGTGTTAGTAGTAGTAATTCTGCAGACCTCAGGATTCCCCAAACATGTAGATATCTCCCTCCTGTTCCTCAGTGGCCTTGTTTTGGCTCCATTTCTGTCAGGACTCTCCATCTGAGTTTGCTATTAAAGGGAGTGCTGAGTAGATCAAAATAACGATATCCAACCTTAAAATATCAAGCATAAATGAATCCTTCTCCAGGTGGTTATATCCCTTTGAACTCACAATAAGTTTATTTTCCCCCTGCTGTTAATATGGTAAAATTCAATCAAAATGAAAAACTTTGTAGAATAGAAATGGTGATTTAGAAAAAGAATAGCCTTTAAAGATTAATCTTTGAAATAATGCATTTTAAATAGACTGTAGCCAATGTTATTAATACTCACAGAAGACTCTTTGAAATTAATAGGCATTACTGAGGCTGAAATCCTGCCTCTACATACCTAGGAGTAAGCTCCAATAGGTTTAACAGAAGTAACTTCAGAGTAGTCATAGTTAGGATTGAGCTGTAACTTAGGTCCATTAATTTCAGGGGGTCTACCCTGAATGGAATCAAGTTAGATGCAGCCCACAATTATTTTACGTAGCCTGACCCTTAAATTCAAAGTAATTTATTTATGTAAGGCAAAGATGATGAACTACTCTAATCTTACAGAAGAAGAAACCTCATCTATCTACTAAGGATTCATGGTGTCAGGTATATGCCAGAACAGGAAATGTGCCTTTTTGAACCCAGAGACTTGGGTAGTTACATATCATACTAAAATAAATACTGGTAACGTTACCAATAACATTATCTTGAGATATTTATCAGCACCTTACAAACAATCTCTTGGTAATATACTATCCCTGCCTATATTTTTAAAAGCAGCCTAATTCTCACAGCAGCTTTCCAATAGGCTAGAACGGTTGCAGATGCATAAATATGGCTTGCGTTACAGACAGACAGACAGACATCAACATTGCCAAAGCGGGGATATTGACTGGCACATGCTAAATTTGGGCATCATTAATACAATTTAAAGAGAAACACACATCTCACCACAGTGGACAAAACTGTGATGAGCTGAATGTGAGCAGCTCAGACTGTTGTTCAGGTGTGAGCTTTCAATGAGCAATTTCAAGGCCCCTTTTTATTTTTATGGGTTTTTAAATCTTTAAACCAGACTTGGACTAGTCAGCCCTTCAAATACAGAACTACCCACCCTCTGACAGCTCTTTACACCAAAGGCTGTCCTCTGCAAAGCAGAAAGCATGGCCACCGCCCAAATCAACACTCTTCTTTTGCCTACGTCAAAGAACAGAATATAGTGGTATGTCGGGTTAAGAACTTAATTTGTTCTGGAGGTCCGTTCTTAACCTGAAATTGTTCTTAACCTGAGGTACCACTTTAGCTAATGGGGCCTCCCGCTGCTGCTGCGCGATTTCTGTTCTCATCCTGAAGTAAAGTTCTTAACCCAAGATACTATTTCTGGGTTAATGGAGTCTGTAACCTGAAGCGTCTGTAACCTGAAGCATCTGTAACCCAAGATACCACTGTACATTTCTGTTTGCTGAAAGTAATGGGTGCCTTTCATTACTTAGGAGCAGATTTCTTGCCAAATTTCGAACGCTCTACACCTGAAATTTACTGCCCAGTTGTTAATTCACTGTAGGTATTTCAAAGAATTATACAGTAGGAAGGGATCCCAAAGGTCATTTAGTCCAAACCCCTGAAATGCAGGAATCACAGCTAAAGAACCCCTGACAGATGGCCACCTCTGCTGAAAAACCTCCAAGGAAAGTCCACGACCTCCCTAGGGAGTCTGTTCCACTATCAGAAAGCTCTTACCATTACAAAGTTCTTCCTAGTGCCTGGTCAGGATCTCGTTTCCTATAATTTGAATCCATTGGTTCGGGTCCTAGCTACTGGAGGGTTTTAAACCTAACGAATTTTATATCATTTTAATCAACTTCCAAGTGGTTTAGTATAAAGCAATATAAACGATTCATTTAAAATGCCAGCAAGATCAAATATTAAAAACAATTTTTATTCAAGTACTGTTAGGAATAGCAGGACTAGATTAACTATTGTTCACGGAGCATTACAGACGACAGCCTCAATAAAAATGGGGCCCTGCTGTTCTCCATTGACAGCACCTCTCTGTGACCTCAGACCATCTCTTGGGCTGGATTCATTTGACACACCTCTCCCTTCCCCTTCCCAACCCAAACAAGATGAGCTAAAGCAGCCTTCCTCCAATTTGTGAGAAATTTAATACGTGATAGCAATAACCTTGCTGCACAAGAATCTGAAAGATAAAGATCAATGTATCACGGCGGGTTTCAAATTGGGGAATATGAGCTAGGCCCATTTGCGTGAGAGGTCCAGAGCTGCAGGCCATATTTGATGCCATTTAATTTAGCCCCTCTAGTTGCAGTTGGGGATTTTGAGGAAAGGAGGAAATATTGTTTTCCAATTGAAAGAAATGGCTTCTCCTAAGGGGAAAGGGAAGATTAAGGCTAATCTTTGACTTCAATTTTTCATCGGCCTTCTAAAGTTCTACAGAAATATAATACTCTCTCTCTCTTTCTCTGTAAAATAGCTTTAGAAAACCTTCTAAAGTTCAATGGGAGGAAGGAAGTCTATCATTTGGTATAGTAACAAGAACATCAGAAAAGTGGGTGTGGGGACGCTTTCTTTCTTAATAACGTTTCCTCATATGTAGGCAATTTTTCCTGTTTTCTCCCTAACAACAGAAATTCAGTAGTTTAGTAAATAATATTTTACTTTCTCCAGGGATGAAACCCCACAAATATTGAATCATTTGGGAATATATATAGAGAGAGGGGCGTTTTAATTAAGTCACTCTAGGATCAATGTCTGTAGAAAGATTTTTAATTTTTTATAATGCAAAGCATAGTGACTGTTACAAGGATTCTGTGACAAAAAAGTGGATTTTTGCATCACTGTTGAGTTTTTCCCCATAGAAGCTTGCCTGGTGCCACTATTGCAAGCTTTCTGCGCCAGGCAAATATTTATTCTCTGAAGCATTTAGTCAACAATAATGGTTCTATTTTTAGTGGCTATATTTTGGTATTCATCCAGCTGGGGGTGGGTATCTCTGTTTAAGTGATTTTGTGGATGAAGCCTTTTACATCACAGAGCCCTCCAGATCACTGCTCTTTCGCAAGAAGAGTTCAGTGCCATACCAGCAAATTTGGGTTTCTGCAGTTAAAGTGGATTCAAGTGCTCCAGCATAATAAACTGCTTTTGCAGCAAGGAATGCAATGGAAAACCACACTAGAAAGTGTGGGATTGACAAGAAGTTGTATGTAACCTTTGCACAAATAAATCAGGAACA